CAAAATGCTGCTGAAAAATAGAGAAATGGTAAAGAGGAAAGGCCGGGGGAAACGCTCAAATTTTATTGATTAAAAAATGCATATACTGTAAACCAAGTATTATACGCGTGCGATAAATATCCGCGAGTTCCGCGAGTAACCTCTGCTCGCGGATATTTATCGTCGCGAACCAGTTGTTCATTATATTCCCATATCATGATTTATTTAGAGTTATTTGCCCTTTTTTCAATACCGATCCCGACGGTTCAACAAGTAATCACGGGAGAACTTTACTTTAAGTGTACAAGAAGCAGTTGAAATTTAATTACAAACATTCAGAAAAAATAGAAACGAATGGCAAATCTAAAACTATTTGTCTAAAAATGATTAAAATGTCAATAATCATTTCAGCTTGTGTTATTATTGTTCATTTATTGTAAAGGACGAGTCAGAGATAGCCTGGTTAATTACGGCTAATTATGGCCCAGTCCTGCTCTGTCCCAACCATTTATAATAATTGCCCCTTGACTATGTAGATCTTAGAAAGCGTCGATTACCCTATTAGTAAGAGGCACTTTTACAATTGAGAATTTTAAATCAATTTTAATCTCCTAGATTTTTTCCCGATTTTCGTTTGACCGTTGTGAAAATGCGTATGAAGTATACTCATGGTAAACATTTTTCCCACTTAAGGGGCGGATATAAGATTTTAAATGGACGCAATGCACAGAATGTTTTTAATATTGCGTAAGCAGAACTCACGCTACCATTTTACCTAGTTTTTGGGCGGATATAAAATTTTAATTTGATTCAAAAATACTCGTGGAAATAAAAAAAAATGTGACCACTCGTTCGCGGAAATAAATCGTCGCGGATTAGTTCTCTAGCGGTCAGTCGCGAATAAAAAATGACGAGTATAATAATTGGTTTACAGTAATATAAATAATGCTCTTTTCAAATTGTTGAATAAGATTTGTGCTGTCTGTCCCCTTTTGTAAACCGTTTATGTCGGCGATGTGTATTGCAGCTGACCGATTTCATCGTGGGAGAGAAGCGATCTCGTCTACTTCCTTTGATGTGATGGCAATGTGACGTAGTATTTAAACCTCTCGACAAGCAAAGCGTTAGCACGTCACAAACAGCGTAATCCGTTAGGTCTATTGAAATAGCTCTAATTTCAACTAAGTCTTATATCATTTTTATATATTCCAATGCAAAGGTTTTGGTTTTAAAAAATATAGATTTAATAATAAATGATTGAAAATAAAACTCGCATTTTCATCCCAGAGCGGCGGTTCCCTCCATGGCTTTAACGACATTTGTGATTGCGCGGGAACTACGGCGGGTCTCTTAGCTTAAAGAGAAGGAAATAACATTTAACATTTACTAGCTAGCTTTTAGGTTTTAATGACTTAAATTTCATAGGCTTGGTCTGAGTTTTATTAAAATACTAAAAAAGAACAACAGAAAACATGAAGGCTATGAAGGTTACACGTACCTTGCACTGAATAGACTTCTAGATCGAATACACACATGTGACCATTGTTGATTGCTTTCATATTCTCAGATGGCCTTTGGAATGCTAAACCGAATTCAGCTTGACCATTAAGTGTGAAGAAGCGCGTCTGACTTCCACGTTCAATAGACATGTTCACGTCATCATGAAACGTCATCATATCCGCTCTAGATCTCTTCCTCTCGATGCTTGCAGGGGAAAATGCATTTGTTTTTATTCCCTTTAATGCGTACAGTTGATTGTTTGGATTTATCACAGACATGTCAGCCTCACCAAAAGTTGGTCCTAATTTTTGATGTGCATAGGCTGCTTGATTTACATTAATTACGGCAAACTTCCTTGGTCTTTTGACACCGTTAAAGTATAATGTAAAGAGGAATGCATGTCCATCTTTGATGTAACCACCAGTGGACCTCCAAGATTGCGAGAGGAAACCTCCATATGCACTGTTATCAGTGTTGTAAAGAACTGTAATTGTGGGACCTTTCTCATCACAAAGCTGATGAAACCTTGAAGCTGAGCAACCATCATGACTTATTTTGTACAGCAACTCAAAATGACACGTCTTACCAATCCACTGCGACAGCTGGTCCCTGTCCTCTGCAGTTAACAGTTCTATTGTTCTAATCATGAAAGATATTTATGTATACATTTATTGACACTTTAATTTTTCCTTATTCTTCATTCTGTTCATTCTTAACTTTTTTATAGTAAAAAAAACAAGCATGCCTACAAATCTTCCTCAGGTAACGCATCCACTGTAGTTTAATCGAAATTACGAGTTTTTTTTATTTCTTATGAATCATTTTTAGATGCAAATTGAACTTTCACCTTATTTTATTTATCAACCAGTAGGAAAGGAATTAATAACAAGGAAATATACATGCTTTTTAACAAGAAAGAAAATTGTTCTCGTGTTAACCATCTTCATCCTGAATTGTACTCAAACTATCTTTGCTTCCAAGAATTGTATTCAAACTATAGTGTATCTTTACTTCCATTGCCTTCGAAACAGAAATATCAGACACTTGTTTGTTTGCCTTTCTATAGTGATATGGCAGATGTCTCTTTCCGTAATTAGAGGGTCGTGTGTTCGAATTACGGCTACTACTTACCCATGTCGATAAAAAAAATCAGTCATTGTTCAAAGTCAGTCTATGTTCTTCGCTCGACATTTCAATGTGAATTTTGAGGGCCCTTCGAATGAAACCATAAAATCCCAAGTTCCCAAGTCACTGTTGACTTTGGCCCGATAAACAACCTACTGCTTTATGATCTTGAATACCAAGTAAAGGTTTAAAAAAGCCCTCCACCGATATATGTTGACGTCTTTCTATATGTAAGAGTTCGTGAACGGGACGTAAAACAACAATCAATCAATCAATTCATGCCCTGTTCACACGGAGAGTTTAATTCGAATTAAACGTAAAGTTACTGCGAATTAGCTTCGCTAAGCGTTCACACGGAGAATTTAATGCGAATTAGTTTAATTCGAATTAGTTTACTGCGCATTAAATTACTTCGCATTAGCTCCGTGTGAACGCTAAGCGAAGCTAATTCGAATTAAATTTTGACACATGCGTAAGGCCAGAATTAAGTCACAGGGCACGTGTTAGTGGTTATATATAGGTATTTGTGCTATATTTGGTTCAAAAATTGAGAGGAAAGTATGTTACATTTAATCACTAAAATCAATGAATACATGTATCTACTACATGATGTATCAAAGGATGGCTCTGCATACATGACGTGATTTACAAATGACGTCATAATAGACTTACTGATGCCTGACTGTAGAAGAAAAATCTTTATTCGCATTAGTTAACTTCGCATTAGCTGTCGTGTGAACGCAATTTAATTCGCATTAGTTTGATTCGCATTAGTTTACTTCGCATTAATTTACTGCAAATTAAACTTGTCGTGTGAACAGGGCATCAGTGTCGTATCGAGACACCAACGGACGATTTAATCGTTTCAGCATCCATCGTGGCACGGGGCCAAGGTTAAATTGGTCTCATCAGAAGGTCCGTATTCCATGTACCGTGTAAAGGAGGGACTTCTTACACGGTGACTCTTAAGAGCAACCAATGACGAGTCATGATCATATTTCGGGAAATTGAAAAAAAAAAAGAAGCAACGTGGTGATTTTTTATGGACAAATTACAATGTGTGTAATTAATTATATTTTGATTAATTTCGCGAATGTTCATTTGTTCACAAACTTCGCCTATGCCTTTATCCTACAAATAATTATTAATAATAATCCATAAAAAGAAAATGGAAATCTATGTAATTATTAGAAATTGTCTCACCTGTCCATTTTGCATGTTGTTACGCTTTGTTTTAAGTTTTCTTTTCTTTTCCTTTCCTGGAACGCATATACTCCTTTTATGTCATCCGATTAAATAATGATGTTTTCAGAAAATCAATGTTTGTATGACTTTTAAAGAATCGTTCGATTTGATCGTATTGTTGACAAAAGATTTAAATGGCTTTATAGGAGTTCTTTATTTAAAAAGGGCAATAAATACGATACTACCTTTGGGACACTTATAGACTAAGGCTTAAAACCATAAACAGAGAATAGAAATATTACCACTTATACGAACCTGGTCTCGGATGAGTGAGTTTATTTCAGTAACCCTCCATTCCGTTTATCTTAGGTCCTTTCAGATATATAATTATGTTCACCCTTCGTCACAATCTATCATTCCGGATATAGTCTAATATTAAGTCGTTTCTTCCTCTTCCTTTCTCGATGAATCGATAAAACGGTAAGTTCATGGAAAATTTTATGAAGTTGAATTGTGGCAATGTTTAAATTTTTCCCACCCACCTTCTCTTGTTTTTAGAACAAATACTGCTGTTTTTGTCATGTCATTGTAGCTTAAGACTGCCTGCTTGGTCCTGCACCCACAACAGACTATTTTGCAATGGTGATGGTGTGCTCTAATATTCCTTAATGGTGCCCTGCTTGGTCTAGTTTCTTCATCAACTTGTGTTGCATTAGTAAATTCTGTATGATTGCGTTTTCTGCAAAGACTGTCTGCTGGGTACAGCGTCCACATCAACCAACTTCGCGGTGATGAAGTCTCTGTTCAGGGGCGGATCCAGCCATTTTTCAAAAGGGGGGTTCCAGGTTTGTGCCCCTCTACCCACCCACCCCCCACACACACCCTCTCTCAACCGAAGACTTACACACACGTATGGAAAGATCTAATGTTGTGTTAAATAATATCTTTTACGTCTTTTTTTTAAAAGGTACTGTACCACCAGTGCGAATAAAAAAAAAACACATTTCAAAAATTTCTGAAGCATTTTATTAAATTAATTTGCAGCATTTCCGAAGAGTACAAAGAATTTTCTTTTAGAATTTGAAAAAAAACCTTTTTGAAATGGGATTTAAGGGGGCCGACTATAGTTTTATTGTGTTAAAACTACAATAGCGAAACTCTTCATTTTTATACCATATATAATTTACATTAACTTCAGTGTACATGCAAAGTTTGGGGAAATTCTATCGTCCAGGTATTTTTGAGGGGCCGTCTCAAAATACAGGTACATTTACTATAGGATTATATAGGAAAAGCCAATTTTTAGCACTTTAAAGCAAATTATAAAAATTCTACAATAGACTTTTTGTTCAAACTATAATATTTGATGAGTAATACTATATTATACAATATATGTAAGAAACACAAAATTCTACCGTCTTGTTACCAGAGGGGGCATCTCAAAATGCAAAAAATTAGCAAATTTTACTATTTTTAGAGAGTATTACAAAAATATGACGTACACAATGGATTTGCATGAAAACATGATAAAAATATTGGAGATATTATCAAATTTCTATGTTTTAAATTTCAAGAGCTTATGTTTATCACTTTTTCTTAAATAATATTTTCATTACCCCTTTCTTTAAGAGCTACAGATTATTATAACGTCAAAAAACACACTGCAACGACGTCAACCTACCTATCAATTGCAAAATCAGTTAAAAAATCAGTTATATCGAATTATAATTATATTTTTATACCTATAATTTCTTAATTTTGCTAAATTTTAATAACTAAGCAAAAAAAGTTGCATTAAAACAGTAAATACGCTTCATTTTACTATGATGCGCGAAATATTGCGCAATGGAAACTATAGTCGGCCCCCTTAAACAAAGAGTTACAAGTTAGTTCCTTCAAAATATATATGACCAAAAACGGTAAATATATAGCCAATACAACCACAGATCTCGGGAATCTAATATCAAATTTAACCTCACATGTTACATATCATTTATAAGACATATAAAAATAAGTAGAATATTTTCTACCATTCTCTCGTAAAAAAGTAATATTGAAGGAGAATGGAGGAAACTAAATGTGTGAGAATCTATCTATTCAATACATAAGTTAGACGTACTGTACATATATTTATTCTCGGAAAACGTTTTATCAACTCTCTCTATCTCTTTCTTTTTTCTCTCTCTCCCTACTTTTAAAAAAATAAAGGGGGGGTCCAACCCCCGGAACCCCTCTCTGGATAAGCCAATGCTGTTTTACCCATATCGTGATGGCTGCCTGTTGGGTACAGCGTCCACAAGTATCTCTTAGCATTAAATATTAGTAAGTGAATAATTGACATAATATCGTCATTAAAAATTTATTGGATTCATAAATAACTAAAACAAGAAAACATTGACGTAACCATCAATTGTCGCCCGGGAAATAAATAAAATACACAATGGAAATGGGTCTTGGTCATCACACCGCTTTAGATATGTAAAGTTAGCTACTAGTAACTGGCTACTAGTAGCTGGCTACTACAAGTGGTAAAGTAAGCTACTAGTAGCTGGCTACGAGAAGTAAGTAAAGTTGGCTACTAGTAACTGGCTACTAGTAGCTGGCTACGACAAATGGTAAAGTTAGCTACTAGTAGCTAGTTACGATAAGTAAGTACAGTTGGCTATTAGTAACTGCATGGCTACCAGTAACTGACTTGAACATTCTAGTACCTTTTGTATTAAATTATGCTAATTTGGGAGAAATTATCTGGCACTAAAGTTACCAAGATATCGTTATTAATAAACTTAGCTACTAGTACCGCTAAAAGTGTGCAATTTTGGGAGATAAATGTTGTTATTATACAAGTAACTGGATTTTTACACCGCTGATATCCACTGATATTGTTGATAAAAACAATCTCTGAGCTTTTCCACAGGATCTGGCAATAAAGTAAGCAAGATATTGTTATTAATAAACTCAGCTACTAGTACCTTTTGTTTAAAATTATGCAATTTTGGGAGACAAATGTTGATATTATAGAAGTAGCTGCATTTTGACATCGCTGATATCCACTGATATTGTTGATAAAAACAATCTCTGAACTTTTTTACATGCTCTGGCACAAAAGTTACCAAGATATCGTTATTAATAAACTCAGCTACTAGTACCTTTTGTTTAAAATGATGCAATTTTTGGAGACAAATCTTGATATTTCGGAAGTAGCTGGATATTTAAACCGCAGATATCAACTGATATTGTTGATAAAAGCAATCTCTAAGATTTTCCACATGATTTGTCAGTAAAGTTACTAAGATATCGTTAGTAATAAACTCAGCTACTGGTACCTTTTGTTTAAAATGATGCAATTTTTGGAGACAAATCTTGATATTATAGAGGAAGCTGCTTTTTGACACTGCTGATATCCAGTGTTATTGTTGATAAAAACAATCTCTGAGCTTTTCCACATGATCTGGCACTTAAGTTACCAAGATATCGTTATTAATAAACTCAGCTACTAGTACCTTTTGTTTACAATGATGCAATTTTTGGAGACAAATCTTGATATTCCGGAAGTAGCTGGATATTTAAACCGCAGATATCAACTGATATTGTTGATAAAAACAATCTCTAAGATTTTCCACATGATCTGTCAGTAAAGTTACTAAGATATCGTTAGTAATAAACTCAGCTACTAGTACCTTTTTTTTAAAATTATGCAATTTTGGGAGACAAAAGTTGATATTCCAGAGGTAGCTGGATATTTACACCGCTGATATCTACTGATATTGTTGATAAAAACAATCTCTGAGCTTTTCAACATTATCTGGCACTAAAGTAACCAAGATATCGTTATTAATAAACTCAGCTACTAGTACCTTTTGTTTAAAATTATGCAATTTTGTAAGACAAAAGTTGATATTTCAGAAGTAGCTGGATATTTAAACCGCAGATATCAACTGATATTATTGATAAAAACAATCTCTAAGATTTTCCACTTGATATGTCACTAAATAAAGTTACTAAGATATCGTTAGTAATAAACTCAGCTAGTAGTACCTTTTGTTTAAAATGATGCAATTTTTGGAGACAAATCTTGATATTCCGGAAGTAGGTGGATATTTAAACCGATGACATGATTTTAAACGAAAGGTACTAGTAGCTGAGTTTATTACCACAGATATCTTGGTAATTTCAGTGCCAGATCATGTGTAAAAGCTCAGACATTGATATTATCAACAATATTAGTGGATATCAGCGGTGTAAAAATCCAGCTACTTCAATAACATCAACATTTGTATCCCAAAATAGCATAATTTTAAACAAAAGGTACCAGTAGCTGAGTTTATTACTACAGATATCTTCTTAACTTCAGTGCCAAATCATATGGAATGACTAGGAGAATATGTTTATCAGCAATATCAGTTGATATCAGTGATATAAAAATCCAGCTACTTCAAGAATATCAAGATGTGTCTATCAAAATTGCACAATTTTAAACAAAAGGTACTAGTAGCTGAGTTTATTACTAACGATATCTTGGTGACATCAGCACCAGATCATGTGGAAAAGCCCAGAGAATGTTTTTATCAGCAATATCAGTTGATATCAGTGATATAAAAATCCAGCTACTTCAAGAATATCAAGTTTTGTCTTCCAAAATAGCCTAATTTTAAACAAAAGGTACTAGAAGGTTCAAGTCATTTAATAGTAGCCAGTTACTGGTAGCCAACTTGACGTACTTCTCGTAGCCAGTTACTAGTAGCTAACTTTACTTACTTCGCGTAGCCAGCTACTAGTAGCCAACTTTACCCACTTGTCGTAGCCAGCTACTAGTAGCCAGTTACTAGTAGCTAACCTTACTTACTTCTCGTAGCCAGCTACTAGTAGCCAACTTTACCCACTTGTCGTAGCCAGCTACTAGTAGCCAATTACTAGTAGCTAACTTTACTTACTTCTCGTAGCCAGCTACTAGTAGCCAACTTTACCCACTTGTCGTTGCCAGCTACTAGTAGCCAGTTACTAGTAGCTAACTTTACATAACTCCGCTTCAATATGTGTGAAAAAGGCATCCTTCCAAGTGATGGAGACGATAGTCGAGAATATTTTGAAAACTTATAGTCGGATAAAAATCGAAAAAAAACGATTAATTATCAATTTCTCAAGTAAATATTGGCTGCATGAAATATAAATTGAAACCAGACTCATGCGTCACCCATTTTCAAAAATGTATTTCACTTTAAGAAATCAATATAAAACATGAACTGTGTAGAGTACGTTTTTATGCGATAAGTAAAATTCGATGTTCTACAAAAGGGACCTTTCGTTTTTTCGATAAAAAAGGGGTACGCAATTTTATATATTTAATATCAAAAACCTATATATTTTACAAATTCATGGAAGTAAATGTATTATGTATATCGTAATTTATAAAGGGAAAAAACATTGTGATTTACAGTCTTTTTAATGTTAAGAAAACCTTTAATTCTGAATAACTTCTCCCACCTCAATCCCCATACACCAACACTTAAACTTATATGTATGGAGCAGCCCGGTCCACCGGGCTGCAATGATGGATATTAAACCAGACTTTACATGTTTATGAACAATAAAAAGCGTTTGTGTTACACCAATCATTTTGACATCAATCTTTTCTGCTTAACAGTAGTTTTTCCAAAAAATAAAATCAAAAAGAAAAATTTAAAACTACATTCCCTAACAACCATTTAATGACTAATGATAGCTTAAGTAGATTGGCAGTAACAAAATTTTACATTTGTCGTAGTTCAGGAATTTGTTACTCTGATTTATAAGAAGGCATTTAAAACCGTCAGTTTCTTCACAAGAGCATTAAAATGCTGATTATTTTGATAATAATTATCCGTTTTATATCTATAATTTAAATCATAAAGAACACATTGCCATTAAGACAAAGTACACAAGTATCCAGTCTTTTCTCTTGTCCTTTTACCCTCGGCATCCATTTTATCAAGCTGCCCATCCATGAAATCATCCGCAAAGTCAAGACACTGTTGTACAGCGTTCATCAAAAGAATACCAGCACCAATATTCAGTTTGGTCTCTTTTTCGAAGTTTTTTACCGGGAAGATGTGACCACGTGGAAGTCCCATAATTTCTCCCACTTTCTTAATAGCTTTAGCAATAGTTGTACTTGTAAACGTGTTTGAGATATCCTCCTCCACATCCGGGCATATATTGTCTAGTTTGGTCAGCAGGACGACTTGTGGCATGTCTATAATTATGAAATAAGCCATCAAAATGCCATTTTAAACATTCACATCATATGTTATTAGTTTTGGCTCTGAGAAAAAAATTTTAAGTGTTAATTATGACATACGAAATCAGATGATATTTCTAGAATTATATTGACTTTTCTTTAGACTTTAATTATTGATTTCATAAAAAATCAAAAATGGCAGTTTTACCAGTATATGAAACCTTAGACTTCTCTCATTCCTAAAATCATTCGATAACATTTATCTTAGTCTGTTTCTTACTTCTCTGATTTAAGATGATTTGCAGATCTTTTATCTGTTTACGGACTTTTTCAGGCATGACGTCGATGGTACTTCCATCTACCACAATGGCTACACAGTGAATTTTATCCTGTAGATTCGGGTCATTTATAAATTTAGGACTATCTGATGACATTGGAACCATTGGATTGAACTATAAATGATCAATCTCAATTAAGCCACAGCAATCTGACAGTTGTTATAATTCCATTTCCTGTTACAATCAATGATCATGACATTTTTTACAAAATGAGTACATTTAATATTGAGCAAGATATCCTTTATTTGGCAAAAAGTGACCAGAAAAAGATGTAGGAAAAAAATCTACATTTTGTTAATTAAATTAAAAGTAATGAAATGGTTTCAAATTTGAATACTAGTATCTAAATTCTACCTCTGAAACATCTGTAATCGATCTTGAGATATGCACAAACGAAAACAAAATAATTTATCAGTACAACTTTATCTACTGATTACAATTTTTTTTAAGTTAAAATAGATGCAAGAGAAAGCAAACCTGGTACTGATCCGGAATATTACCATCCAGGATAAAAGCAATTTCTTGTACATCCATTTCAAATTCGTCCTCAAATCCTCGTGTGTCACACAGACGAAAGTTAAGGAATTTCCCTGAGGTAAAGTCTTTGATTTTGTATTTTCTAAACTGAAAAAAGCATGTTGATCCTTATATATTTTGCTTAATTACAGAAATGAAAACAAAGGTTTTCATAACATTATCTGCATTGACACTCATTGCAAAGTAATCGCCATACTGAATGTCCTTGAAATAAATTACATGAAAGTGTTGTTTTGAAAAAGGTAATATACCTTTCCTTTTTGCCATCACCAGTACGAGCTTTTCTGATTTAAAACAAAACAAAAACCGTATTTAGTAGACATACCGCTGTCGTCACACTGTGTTCAAAGCTCCCACTGGAGGCTTTACTTGTAATTTTCCCGCGAAAAATGGAGTTGACCGAGTTGAAAAAGCTGGACTTTCCCGCGCCAATTTGACCAATCAGAAGAATGTTTGCTGCGGACACATTTGTCCCTGGCAATGGTTTATAGTCCACGAGCGATTTCTTCAGGTTGCAATAAGACTTAAAGATAAACACAACCTTTATTTCAGAAATCAACAATACAGCGAAAAAAATTCTCATATTGATAACTTCACTAATGTTATCTAGAATAGATGTAGAAAATTTGCGAAATCTTTCAGAAATGTACGAAATGTGTGCAAAAACTGGAATTGAGATATACAGAAAATAACACAAAGTGGCACATCTGAACACCAAATATTGTGAAAAATGTATTGATTTCGAGCAATTCTTTAAACGTTTTTGCTTAATACACATTTTGAATAAAGTTTGTTGTTATTACAAAATATTTTGAGTTAATCTTTACTACAACATTTTACAGATTCATCAAGCAACCAACATTTGAATAGATGTTTTTTCAATGAGTTATATGTATATGTATTGTAGAATCAATGATAAATTATCTATCAAGTCAATGCAATTCTATTTTTGAAGATACTTTCATCTTTAAATATTAAACTAACGTGCATTTCTTTTTTCTAGACTCTTATCAATTTTTTTTTCGGAAAAAAAATCCATTGACAAGAAAAAAAAAACTCTTAAAAAATCATATTTTAAAAATGTTGTCAAGTTTCCAAATTTTACTTTTGATTCGATACAAGAATTATATTTTCTTGGTGAAGTTTACCTAACTGTCATTTTTCATGTTCTAAACATGATCATATTCACCATCAATGAATAAATCAAGAAAATGTATATAAATGCAATTGTACTACATTCTTTGCTTGCTTAGTGTTAAGAAAGTAAATTTTATAAAGTTTTCGATTATTATTTTTAAATGAATAAACCTATCCTCTTATAATAGGAAATGATCCTGAGCAGAAAGGGAATATAATTGTCAGTTGAGTAGTTTATTAATTTATTAAGGACTATATATGTCACAAGACGAAAGACTACCTTTAAGCAATCGCTTAATGGTAGCTTAATGGTGACTTAATGGTGGCTTAAAGAAGTTAATTCCTTTAAGCCACCATTAAGTCACCATTAAGCTAGACTTACAGGTGCTTATTGTCCAAACTTCATTAAGCTACCATTAAGCCACCATTAAGCTGAGCTTAATGGTGACTGAATGGTCAACCCTCATTAAACTTTTACGCATCTTATATAGAATCTTTGAACTAGCTTTTAGTTATTTTAATATCATTTACGCAAAATCTATTCCATCTCATAATTCTGTCTCGATCATAATTTCTACGAGTTTTTTGTCAACATGCATAAACTTGATCACTGGGAACGAAGTTAGCTAATAGCCACAGGGGCTTGCTCGAGCTGTCTAATTTTTTCTTAACATCATTTACAGTGATAATAAAACAAGACATCATGTTTCAGAACTGTATATTATTTTTATTTTTTAAATTAACCATTATTACATGCGTTGTTTTTATTTTTAGTGTATATGATTTTTAAAAATAAATAATTATTACACACCGTGAGCAAGTCCTTGTGAAATATCTTAAATGTACAATACCAAAAATCAATTTGTTTTTAGAATTATCTATATTCCGAACACAAAATATATATTACTTTATTAAAATGGTCATTTTATTTCATATGTCAAAAGAAACATTCCGCTACAGAATTCACAGGAATATAACTATATAATCTCATTGAAAAAAATCTCTGTCATTTTTTTTTTTTGGGGGGGGGGGGGGGGGGGTACTGGTATACAAATTTTTAGTTTTCAAAAATTGACTTTTACCATGAAAAACTTTTTAATGGCTTTTACATCATGAATAATTTTAATTAATTCATTATTTTTTTAAATATGCAGCGGTAAGTATCTGTCAAAATCTAGTCGGTCTTCAATGATTGTTATTTCAAAATCGATTTTCAGAGGAACGGCTGACCAGGCTGAAGCTAGCAGCCAATAACAGCAGCCACTAAGCGCGTAGAAGCTAGCAGCCAATAAGGAAATTCATCAAAGCATTTTTGATATTACAGGCAGGTATTTTACCCATGATTTAGAAAGTGATCAACATTACTATGGCAAGATAGAAGGACGCAAGGATTATAATTTCCTGCTATCAGAATGGGTTTTAGTGGTACCACCAGGTGGTGTCAAGTACATGGGTCATATTTCAAGCAATCATTCGTCATCAATTATTGGTGATTAAGTTAAGGGTCTTAGGGAGAATCCCTTGTCAACGTTTCAAAAGGTCCCAGGGGCCGGAAAGGGCCAGTTATCTACGCTGAACTTTGGCTGTTTTGCATTTTATCCCAAAAACGCCATTAAAGATCAGCTATTACACGCCTTATCCTTGAAGTGTTCATCGAATGATTATTGGGGCAAGGTAGAGGGGCCCTAGGGCTATCATTTGCCACTTACAGAATGGGGCTGTAGTGGCACCACCAAGTGGTGGCAAGTGCGTGGGGCATATTTCCAGCATTCATATTTAATTCATTGTCGGCCTCCTGAACAAACTAACACTGGGGATGGGTAGGGGGCCCTAGGGGGTATCCCTTGACAGATTTCTGCAGGGTCCTAGGGGCTGGAAGGGTCCAGTTAGCTAACCTGAACTTTGCTGTTTTTCATCATTGTACATAGGGAAACGGGAAAAGGGTCGCTATTATACGCCTTATCCTTGAAGTGTTCATCGAATGATTATTGGGGCAAGGTAGAGGGGCCCTAGGGCTATCATTTGCCACTTTCAGAATGGGGCTGTAGTGGCACCACCAAGTGGTGGCAAGTGCGTGGGGCATATTTCCAGCATTCATATTTATTTCATTGTCGGCCTCCTGAACAAACTAACACTGGGGATGGGTAGGGGGCCCTAGGGGGTATCCCTTGACAGATTTCTGCAGGGTCCTAGGGGCTGGAAGGGTCCAGTTAGCTAACCTGAACTTTGCTGTTTTTCATCATTGTACATTGGGAAACGGGAAAAGGGTCGCTATTATATGCCTTATCCTTGAAGTGTTCATCGAATGATTATTGGGGCAAGGTAGAGGGGCCCTAAGGCTATCATTTGCCACTTTCAGAATGGGGCTGTAGTGGCACCATTTGGTGGTGGCAAGTGCGTGGGGCATATTTCCAGCATTCATATTTAATTGATTGTCGGCCTCCTGAACAAACTAACACTGGGAATGGGTAGGGGGCCCTAGGGGGTATCCCTTGACAGATTTCTGCAGGGTCCTAGGGGCTGGAAGGGTCCAGTTAGCTAACCTGAACTTTGCTGTTTTTCATCATTGTACATTGGGAAACGGGAAAAGGGCCGCTATTATACGCCTTATCCTTGAAGTGTTCATCGAATGATTATTGGGGCAAGGTAGAGGGGCCCTAGGGCTATCATTTGCCACTTACAGAATGGGGCTGTAGTAGCACCACCAAGTGGTGGCAAGTGCGTGGGGCATATTTCCAGCATTCATATTTATTCCATTGTCGGCCTCCTGAACAAACTAACACTGGGGATGGGTAGGGGGCCCTAGGGGGTATCCCTTGACAGATTTCTGCAGGGTCCTAGGGGCTGGAAGGGTCCAGTTAGCTAACCTGAACTTTGCTGTTTTTCATCATTGTACATAGGGAAACAGGAAAAGGGTCGCTATTATACGCCTTATCCTTGAAGTGTTCATCGAATGATTATTGGGGCAAGGTAAAGGGGCCCTAGGGCTATCATTGGCCACTTTCAGAATGGGGCTGTAGTGGCACCACCAAGTGGTGGCAAGTGCGTGGGGCATATTTCCAGCATTCATATTTATTTCATTGTCGGCCTCCTGAACAAACTAACACTGGGGATGGGTAGGGGGCCCTAGGGGGTATCCCTTGACAGATTTCTGCAGGGTCCTAGGGGCTGGAAGGGTCCAGTTAGCTAACCTGAACTTTGCTGTTTTTCATCATTGTACATTGGGAAACGGGAAAAGGGCCGCTATTATACGCCTTATCCTTGAAGTGTTCATCGAATGATTATTGGGGCAAGGTAGAGGGGCCCTAGGGCTATCATTTGCCACTTACAGAATGGGGCTGTAGTGGCACCACCAAGTGGTGGCAAGTGCGTGGGGCATATTTCCAGCATTCATATTTAATTCATTGTCGGCCTCCTGAACAAACTAACACTGGGGATGGGTAGGGGGCCCTAGGGGGTATCCCTTGACAGATTTCTGCAGGGTCCTAGGGGCTGGAAGGGTCCAGTTAGCTAACCTGAACTTTGCTGTTTTTCATCATTGTACATTGGGAAACGGGAAAAGGGCAGCTATTATACGCCTTATCCTTGAAGTGTTCATCGAATGATTATTGGGGCAAGGTAGAGGGGCCCTAGGGCTATCATTTGCCACTTTCAGAATGGGGCTGTAGTGGCACCATTTGGTGGTGGCAAGTGCGTGGGGCATATTTCCAGCATTCATATTTAATTGATTGTCGGCCTCCTGAACAAACTAACACTGGGAATGGGTAGGGGGCCCTAGGGGGTATCCCTTGACAGGTTTCTGCAGGGTCCTAGGGGCTGGAAGGGTCCAGTTAGCTAACCTGAACTTTGCTGTTTTTCATCATTGTACATTGGGAAACGGGAAAAGGGTCGCTATTATACGCCTTATCCTTGAAGTGTTCATCGAATGATTATTGGGGCAAGGTAGAGGGGCCCTAGGGCTATCATTGGCCACTTTCAGAATGGGGCTGTAGTGGCACCACCAAGTGGTGGCAAGTGCGTGGGGCATATTTCCAGCATTCATATTTAATTCATTGTCGGCCTCCTGAACAAACTAACACTGGGGATGGGTAGGGGGCCCTAGGGGGTATCCCTTGACAGATTTCTGCAGGGTCCTAGGGGCTGGAAGGGTCCAGTTAGCTAACCTGAACTTTGCTGTTTTTCATCATTGTACATTGGGAAACCGGAAAAGGGCCGCTATTATAGGCTAATTCTTATCTTATGTCACCTATAACTTCAACATAATCTGTCAAACTGAACGCGACATTTGTCGCAAATTTGTAAACAATGTATAGACACGGCAGTTCTATTGTATCCTAGGCTTTCAATTATTAACTCGATTTGTTCAAAGTTGAAACCAATCGAAAT